AAATTTTTTTTTTTTTTTTTTTTTTTTTTTTTTTTTTTTTTTAGAATTTCAGTTTTAACTTAGCATCACTAACAGCTTTCTCATCCGTCAACTGCTTTGGTTTTCTTAGAAGCTTAAAATTCTGGATCCACTTTATTTTTTTATTGTCTACAAACCTTTAAATGAAAATATTGTTTTTAGAATACTAGAGCCTGTCAATGGCTTCATCATTTACCTTTTGAGGATCCCATGACTGGTGGTAGAGTACAGTCTCGTTTCTTCCCACTAGGACTACCAGTATTCATAAATTTATACCCCTTATTGTAATTTGTTCCTGACTGTCAGAAGTCAAATATTCTGATTTATAGAGGATTCTAAAACAAGAGTTTTTGAAAAGACTTATTTTATACATATATATATTATATGGAGAAACATGTTTTTTTAAATGTTTCATTGACCAAAATAATTTTAAAGTAATTAATATTACTTATATCAGGAAAAATAATTGTAGCAGCTGATCTGTAAATGACTTTAAAAGCTATTTTAGTAATTTAAATAAACTTACTTTCTTGGTTTGTACTCTTGTGTGTCATAAACTTAATGATTCATATACCTTTAAAAGAAATTATTCCTAGAGTTTTCTTTATACTTGAGCAATTTTAGTGACTTCTGCTAGGAGAAACAAAGGCCAAACAAAGAATTGGAGCCACTCACAAGTACACTGGTAGGAAATATAATCACTGTGATTTTCTGTTTCATCCAGGGATTTTGAATTATCACTAAAATGGAATTAGTTTAGGTATTCCGCACTTGGCAAAAGAATCCACACCATGTTTCTCAAATTTTTCATTCTCACCTCTCTAAAGAACCTTTTTAGATTTTTTTTTCCTAATCATCTGCCCCCATGAAATTTTAATACTGCATATATACTCTATATCTGTTTATGGACTGCATATTTTTTTGCTTTATACACCTGAAGAATAAGATTTTTTTGCCCCCGTTGAAAGTACATGCTCAAGGACATCTGTATTTTAGATCATTGATGCCTAAAACATTTTGTTTTGTTCATGTTACCATAATCCGTTTGGAGGGGAAAATTTAATAAATCATCGGCTTGAAAATAGGAACTTGGGCCTCTAGAAATTAGGCGCATTGTGACTTTGGGCGACAGCACTGGCCCAGGGAAAACCACAGTGCAAAACTGACCTTACAAATTTCTAAACACTTAATTTGCTTCCCTTCTCTTAATGACTTACTTATATTACTTTTAAGGAGGTTTTCTAAACCTCCAGTCCTCAATGATAGGAAATAAACCTGATTTTCATTCTACGAAGAGAAGTGAAACTTAGAAAGGGTTTGCATAGTTAATACCTACACTAAAGATATAAAGCCCAATTTGCCTGTGACCTTAGGTCTTCTGAAAGCGGCCTTTGTGTTGTCAATATGAGGAAGCATTTCTCATTGATTGCAAAAAAAACAGTGGACTATTCTACATTGTCCTTATCAAGGCCACAGAGTAAAATCTTATGGTATGAAGATTCTACTGTCATTAGCCACCTGGGATGAAGGTGGGAGTCCTGAGTTTGGGAAACCAAACTAACTCTTCCATTGACTGCCATTGACTTGGAAAAAGAGGAAACTCCTGCCTTAAACCTATCTTTGGCCTGGATTCAGAGAAGTCCTGGTGGGCTTGCAGGTTCTTCTGGATGGTAGGGGAAATATAGCCCATCACCTGAGCATGAACAGGGAGAAACCTCTTGCAATTTACAAATTATAGTCTTGTCTTTTGCACACTCTTGGACTCCTCTGGAATATTTTTCATATCTTGCCTTCTCCCTTTTCCCAGCCTTACGCTCTGCTAATTCTTATTTGTTCTGAATGCTTTATTTTTTTTCAGGCAGAACTTTACTGAACCTAATTCCCTACCCTGAAATACTGGTGCAGGTGCCTCTTCTTTACACGCTTGTTCCTCCTGTATTACCCCTGTCACAGCACTTAGCACACTCCCACAACCATATGCCTCTTTTTTTTTTTTAATTAGTATAGTTGATTTACAGTGTTGTGTTAATTTCTGCTGTACAGCAAAGTGATTCAGTTATATATATTCTTTTTCATGTTATTTTCCATTTTGGTTTATTACAAGCTATTAATATAGTTCCCTGTGCTGTACAGTAAGGCCTTGTTTATCCATCCTACATAAAATAGTTTGCATCTGCTAATCCCAAACTCCCACTCCATCCCTCCCTGCCCCCCCAACCTTGGCAACCACAAGTCTGTTCTCTTTGTATGTTTCTGTTACATAGATAGGTTCATTTGTGTCACATTTTAGATTCCACATATAAGTGATATCATATGATATTTGTATTTGTCTTTCTGACTTATTTCACTTAGTATGATAATCCTAGGTCCGTCCATGTTGCTACAAACAACATTATTTCGTTCTTTTTATGGCTGAGTAATATTCCACTGTAAATAGTGCTACTAGGAACATAGGGGTGCATGTATCTTTTCGAATTAGAGTTTTGTCTGAGTATATGCCCAGGAGTGGGATTGCTGGGTCACCATATGGCTCTTGAGATCAGGAGAGTGTGATCAATCTACACACAGTGGTAATCACATAAAGTGCTCAAATATTTGTTAAATAAAAATTGCAAGCCCTGTGTGGTTAGCAAAAATAGGTAAGTTACATCTTTCTCAGTGTTTTGCTTTTTTTCTGTTATTCCTGAGCCTTTTTTTTCTAAATCTTTTTTATATAAGCTATTTCAACCTGGATTCAGTAGGGCCATGAATAATTTCAGGAAAGAGGAAGGGGACCAGTCTCAGAAGGGAAACCTGGTCCTTTTCTGGTGGAAGCAAGGATCATTAGTGAGAGGTCCCCAAGGGGAAGGTGAATGTTAAGAAAGAAAACTGGGAGCCCTTAAGGTCTTTCCACAGTAAGATTAGGAATTTGAGTTTTCTTAAAAGAGCTAGGAAGTTTCCTTACATCTTTTCATGTTATGTAAGAGGGTAATTATAGTCCAGATAAGAGATGGCTATGGATGTGGAGAGAAGATGGATAAGAAAAATATTCGAGAAGTAGAAATGACAAGGTTTGGTAATCGAATGTAATGTTATAGAGAAAATACCTCATAGAGGACTCTTCAAAGCGCTGTACTACTAAAAATACCTCCTCAATCTATTTAGCTCATCTATCTTCTCTCCCCAAATACTAAGCACACAGTGGTAAACTAAATTCTTATGTCTCAATGTCTTTCTGTTGACTTTTAGCAGTTTGAAGTAGAGACTCACATATTTAGTCAGGAATTATTTGATTGTAAATAAAAACCCTGTCTAATCAGCAAAAGAGGAAAGGAAGGGTGAGGTGGGTATTGTAAGAATATACATCTGAGACTCCAAGACAGGAAAATATGGGAACTGTGAGGACTGTTCTGGATGGAGACCTCACAGCCATTCCCTCTGCCTCTCTACTTCTGGCTTGCTATGCCTCAGCAACTTCCCCTTGTGTCTTTTTTTTTTTTTTTTTTTTTTTTTTTTGGCTGCGTCGGGTCTTCATTGCTGCGAGCAGGTTTTCTCTAGTTGCGGCGAGCGGGGGCTACTCTTTGTTGCGGTGCGTGGGCTTCTCATTGCTGTGGCTTCTCTTGTTGCGGAGCACGGGCTCTAGGCGCGTGGGCTTCAGTAGTTGTGGCACGCGGGCTCTAGAGCGCAGGCTCAGTAGTTGTGGCACACGGGCTTAGTTGCTCCGTGGCACGTAGGATCTTCCCAGACGAGGGCTCAAACCCATGTCCCCTGCATTGGCAGGCAGATTCTTAACCACTGCACCACGAGGGAAGTCCCTTGCTTCTGTTTTATGTCCTGGTTTTTTGGCCACAAGGCATGTGGGATCCTAGCTCCCCAGCCAGGGATCGAACCTGCACCTCCTGCTTTGGAAGGCGAAGTCCTAACCACTGGACCACCAGGGAAATCCCTTTCTTCTCACTTGTAGAGAGCACCATTCTTAGGCTAAACTCAAGAAGAGAAACTGCTCCGTTCTATATAGCCCATAAGAGAATATTTACTCATAGTAGTTATGTGCATTTCTTGATGAGCAATTTTTTTAATCTACTCTCAATTTCGTAGTTTAAATGGACTTTCTCCTACTTTGTATACCATGAAGATGGAAAAGATCTATATCGAGACCTTTGAATATGTATTAAGTTGTCCCTCACCATTTTCTAGTTTTTTGTTACTATTTATTGAGTGCTTATTAATGCCCCAAACACTGTTTCAACTTCTTTACGTGCATTAACTGATTTAATTCTCACAATAATCCTGTGAGGTGGTAATATTATCCCAACTTTATAGACAGGAAACTGAAGCACAGAAAAATAAAATGACACCCAAGAATACCCAAGTAAAAAGTGGTGAAGCAGAGATTTGAACCCAGGGTGTCTGTGTTTAAAACATCTATTCTTACCACTATGTAGAGAGTCTCTAGAACCCCATATATGATGTTTCTCCCCAGTCTATTCAGGCTCTATACAGGTTGGAGTATTTTTCCAACATTGTAGAATTTTTTTTTCAGTTGAACTGTAGTTGATTTACAATATTGTGTTCATTTCAGGTGTACAGTGAAGTGATTCAGATATATATAGATGTATAGGTATATATATATTCTTTTTCAGGTTCTTTTCCACTATAAGTTATTACAAGATATTGAATATAGTTCCCTGTGCTTTACAGTTTTTTGTTCCTTGTCTTTTTTTTTTTTTTTTTTTTTTTTTTTTTGGCGATACGTGGGCCTCTCACTGTTGTGGCCTCTCCCACCACGGGGCACAGGCTCCGGACGCGCAGGCCCAGCGGCCATGGCTCACGCGGCACGTGGGATCCTCCCAGACCGGGGCACGAACCCGTGTCCCCTGCATCGGCAGGCGGACTCTCAACTACTGCGCCACCGGGGAAGCCCTGTTCCTTGTTTTTTGTCTCTTTCATATATAATGGTGTATATCCCATACTCCTAATTTATCCCTCCTCCCCTCCTTTCCCCCTTGGTAACCCTAAGTTTGTTTTCTCTGTCTGTGAATCTGTTTCTGTTTTGTAAATAAGGTTTTAGATTGTTTTTTAGATTCCACATATAAATGATATCACATGATATTTGTCTTTTTCTGTCTGACTTACTTAGTATAATCTCTAGGTCCATGCATGTTGCATGAAAGGATACTTCATACTTTTTTATGGCTAATATCCTATTATTATATATAGGATATATATATACCTTATACTATATATATTATATATAGTATATTACTATATTACATATAGTATATTATAGTATATATAATATTTACAATATATAAATATTATATATATTATATATAGGATAGGATATATATCCTATATATAGGATATATATATATATATAGTATATGTGTATATATACCACATCTTTTTTATCCATTCATCTGTTGATGGACTTTTGGGTTGTTTCCATGTCTTAGCTATTGTAAATAGTGCTGCTATGAACATTGGGGTGCATGTATCTTTTCAGATTACAGTTTTTGTCTTTTCCGGATATATGCCCAGGAGTGGTGGGATTGCTGGATCATACTGTAGCTCTATTTTTAGTTTTTTAAGGAACCTCCATATTGTTCTCCATAGTGGCTGCACCAATTTACATTCTCACCAACAGTGTAGGAGGGTTTCCTTTCCTCCACACCCTCTCCAGCATTTATTATTTGTAGATTTTTAATGATGGCCATTCTGACTGGTGTGAGGTGATACCTCATTGTAGTTTTGATTTGCATTTCTCTAATAATTAGTGATGTTGAGCATCTTTTCATGTGCCTGTTGCCATCTGTATATCTTCTTTGGAGAAATGTCTATTTAGGTCTTCGGATTTTTTGATTGGGTTGGTTTTTTGATATTGTGTTGTATGTCAACTTTGTAGATTCTTACTTGTGATTTTCCTTTAAGCCATTTTCTTTTCTTCTTGCTCAGCTCTGTGGAATTCAATATTGCACACACCCAGGGTCTAAAGAATTTTGAGTAGAATGAGACACACACCTGTTGGCTCATATTTGCATACATTGACATCATGCTTTTGTAACTGGAGGCCTGCAGTGTTGACTCGCAGTCTATCTTTTACGAAATACCTACACGTAGCCTAGGTGTTAGCTGTCCCTGTATACCATGGAGCCTTTGTTTTGCTTGCCCTCAGCCTTGATGCAAAACAGCACTTCTTGGAATTCCTAAGGAAGAGTCCAGTTGCCTCAGAAGCATTGGTAATTTCACATAAACAGTTGGGAAAGGATGATAAGAGCACAGGCCCTACAATCCCAGCTCCAACACTTTTCTCACTGAGTGACAATGGCAAATTACTTCTCTACGCCTCAATTTCCTCATCTCTAAAATGGGGGAAATAACATAACTACTACCTTAGTGGTGTTATGAGGATTAAGTCAGTTATACATACAAAGCACTTAAAAAGTGCTGAGCACATCAAAGGGTACAATGTTAGCCACTTTTGTTCATCTAAATTCTTACCAAGGATTCTCCTCTCCCCATCTCTGTGGCATCAACTGTGGCTGGCTTATATTTCTGCCTCCTAAGTGACCCTTATTCTACAGAGTACCTGGGCTTTCTCCCAGTTTACACCTCTATCACAAACCCCAATCCATCACAGTGTTCATTAAACAAAGGGCTTCCAGTTACCAGAATCCACCCTTTCCAAAAATCTGGGAAATTATAAAGAACAAAAAAGATTTCCATCACGTGGATAGCTCTTTCATATTTCCATGGCTTATTCTTACATAGCTTCACTGTCCTACTCTCAGCCTTAAAGACCTCATTTTTGTTCAAGCAACTGTAATTTGTTGAGATTATTTTCCAAGTGCTGCACAGACCACCTTGTGTTAAACACAGAGATGTGCCACTTAGACCCTCTTAGAGGAAGAATTTGTTGTGCCAGCTGCTGAGAATACGGTTAATGGACAGCCTTCACCATCAGCCACTTCATGGATTGCTTCAGCTGCAGAGAGTCACTTTACCCAACGTCATGCCACAGGGGGAGGGGGTGTACATCCAATGGCTGATTGACGGAATATAGAGGCTCAACCTTCTCAGCCCAACACAATGCAATTTGGACAGGCCATTTGTACTCCAGAGCTTCCACATGAGGTTGGCTGAGGCTATAGCGCCTGTATCATAGTGTGACATCCTGCTTCCTTCTCCTCCCTTCCACAGGTGCTCATACCCAGTGCATTCCCTAGTAAATATCCAGCACACTAAACTTTGTTTCATAGTCTGCTTCTCAGAGACCCCCACCTGTGTCACACTCTAAGCTTAGTGCAGTATATAAATGGAATGAATAATAACTAATGTTTATTGAGCACTAAATATGTGCCAAGCACATACTTATGATAGGCACCGTACATATAGTAGTATCTCATTTAATTTTCATAATCCTTTGAAGTAAATACTGCTACTATCTGACTGTTATAGATAAGGAAACAAAGATACAAAGCTATACTGTTAGTAACTGGTGGAGATAGAATTTGAACACAGATCGTCTGATCCAGAGCCTACATTTTTAACCATCATGCTACATTCTATCCTATAATAATATCTACTTCTTAAGAAGTGAAAATGATATTAAGCCATATCTTATAAACCATAACATATGATGGATGTAAGTTAAGGAAACATAGTGCACGACCTATAAGATCACTTCATTATCTGATAAAATTTATGCTTCTCTATAGAGATAAAACCTGGTAAAAACACTTGAAACTCTATTAGGAAGAATATCTTTCTAACAACAAAGGCCTACTGTGGTTCTGATTGCCAAAATTTGAATGTGGGTTGAACTAGAGATAGGTTGAGTTAAATCTCTGTCAATGTTGACTATAAAATTGACAAAGGTTATAATATCTGAAAATACTGTAAAGCCCAAAGTATTTGTTTGATGTTGCCTCTGAAAGAGTCTTTATCTCTTGTAGCCAATAATCTGTCCATTGTTCAATAGATGACTCAAGCTGGGTTTGAGTGATGTAATACTTGCCACTTGAAATACAACATCTTAGTGAGCAAATTCCAGTAAAATCTTTCCCTTTGGAAATAGTCCCAAAGGATTAGATTTTCTGTTGTTAACTGGTAGGTTCCAAACACCAAAGGTTTGCTTCTCTGAAATATTTTTATTAGCCTTGGATAAGCAGGTTGACAGACACAGGGAATGAAGCACTTTCATATTCAGGAAATGTAGCCAACCTCCTACTTCTGACTTCACCTCTAAGTTTTTACTGTTATTGAATCAGCAGCTCTGCTCTTTGAGTCATGTGGGTTATTACTGAAGTAGCCCTTCTACCCTTAACATTTGTCTTGCGATCAGTGTGTGTTAGCTGATTGGACTGTAGATTTAGCTCAGATTTAGTTCTAAGTAACTAATCTTTTGCCCTTATAGCATGTTATCTCATTCCTCTAGAAAAGGGACACAAACATCAAAATTTACAGCAGTCTCAACATCTGCCTTGAATCTTTCACAGAGTGTGCAGGGAGGAATATGCATCTGTGCATGCTAAAAATTAACTTTTATAATGAAATTAAATATAAATAATACAAATAAGAGGGATAGATAGATAAGGCTAATATTACTCTCATAGCTATAGCTGTCTCCTATAATTAGAAGGTTGTTTAAGTGACTTTCCATTTGTTTCAAATCTTAAACATAAGCACATGAGTTTAAATAAATGAACAAACCAAACATAAGACAAATTAAATCATGGTTTCCTCAAAGCATCAACTCTCCTCAAAACAACACAAACAGAACAATGAAGTTAAAATACATAAAGAGTATACATAGAAATGAATAAAGCCAAAAGGCAATTGAACAAGAAAAGTTTGGAAATAAGGCACTGGAATAATCAGCAACCCTGGTAAAGTCCATTTTTTCAGACAGTATGAGGTCATGCCTCAGACAACAAAATAC